GGAGTTGCTGTGAGTAGGAATTGACTTGATGACAATGAGTTTCAATTTTGTGTGAGTACTAAGCTGAATGTTGGTGAAGCACCACCATTTGGTGAACCCACCCAGCAGTGCAGCAGTGTCAAAGACACTGCCATCGGGCCAATTCCGACTTATAGCGATGCTCTTTGAGTTTACAAAGCTATAAATCTTTACAGAAGCAGACTGCCTCATCTTTCTTCGACAGAGCAGCTGATGGGTTCGAACCACTGACCTTTGGGTTGGCAGACAAATGCCTCAATCACTACATCACCAGAACTCCTTTTCAAAGAGACAAGGGAGAAGTTCAATTTCATCAGGCAGAACAAGACCAGGGGCCAACTACAATTGCTCCTGTACAAGTTTAAGTTGAAGCTGAAGAAAATTAAAACAAGTCCATGAGACTAAAAATATGACCTTGAGTATATCCCACCTGAATTTACAGACCATCTGAAAAACAGATTTGACACACTGAATACCAATGACCAAAGACCAGACGAGTTGTGGGATGACAGCAAGGACATCATACATGAAGAAAGTAAAAGGTCATTAAAAAGAATGAAAAGACCAAAATGGATGTCAGAAGAGACTCCAAAACTTCTTCTTGAATGGAGAGTAGCCAAAGAAAATAGAGGGAATAATGAAGTAAAAGAGTTAAACAGAAGATTTCAAAGAGAAGACAAAGTATTATAATGAAATGTGCAAAGACCTGGAGTTAGAAAACCAAAAGGGAAGAACATGCTAAACATTGCTCAAGCTGAAAAAACTGAAGAAAAAATTCAAGCCATGAATTCCAATATTGAAGAATTCTACAGGCAAGATACTGAAGGATGCAGGAAGCATCAAAAGAAGATAGGAGGAATACAGAGTCACTGTACTAAAATGAATTGGTCGATGTTCATCCATTTCAGGAGGTGACATATGATCAAAAACCAATGGTACTGAAGGAAGAAGTCAAAGCTGTGCTAAAGGAATTGGAGAAGAACAAGGGTCCAGGGATTGATGGAATACCCATTGAGATACTTCAACAAATGGATACAATGCTGCGAGCCCTCACCTGTTTCTGCCAAGAAATTTGGAAGACAGCTATCCGGCCAAGTGACTGGAAGAGATCCCTATTTGTGCCCATTCCAAGGAAAGGTGATCCAATAGAATGTGGAAATTATCAGACAGGATCATTAATATCACAAGTAAAATTTTGCTGAAAATAATTCAAAAATTGTTGCAACAGTAAATTGACAGGGAGCTGCTAGAAATTCAAGCCACATTCAGAAGTTGTTGTTGTTATGTGCCATCGAGTTGGGTTTCTGAGGTAGTATCACTACGGAAATAGATTGTCTAACCTTCCTTCCGAGGAGTGGCTGGAGGGTTTGAACCGCCAGCCTTCTGGTTAGCAGTCAAATGCCTTAGACACTATGCTACCAGAGCTCCTATATTCAGAAGAGGGTGTGGAAAAAGGGATATCACTGCTGATGTCAGATGAATCTTGGTTGAAGCAGAGAATACCAGAAAGATGTTCACTTGTGTTTTATTGACCATGTATGGTCATTCAACTATGTGGATCATAACAAATTATGGATAACATTGCAAAGACTGGGAATTCCAGAACACTTAATTGTGCTCATGAGGAACCTGTACATAGACCAAGAGGCAGTCATTCGAACAGAACAAGGGGATACTGCATGGCTTAAAATTAGGAAAGGTATGAGTCAGGGTTGTATCCTCTTATCATACTAATTCATTCTGTATGCTGAGCAAATAATAAGAGAACTTGGACTACATGAAGAAGAACACAGCATCAGGAGTGGAGGAAGACTCATTAACAACCTGCCATATACAGACAATACAACCTTGCTTGCTGAAAGTGAAGAAGACTTGAAGGACTTACTGATGAAGATTGAAGAATATAGTCTGCAGTATGAATTACATCTCAATATAAAGAAAACAAATATCTTCACAACTGGACCAATAAGCAGCATCACAATAAATGGAGAAAAGATTGAAGTTGTCAAAGATGTTGTTTGGTTCTACAATCAATGCCAATGGAAGCAGCAGTCAAGACATCAAACAACGTATAGCACTGGGCAAGTCAGCTGCAAAGGACCTCTTTCAAGTGCTGAGGAACAAAAATGTCTCCTTGAAGACTAAGGTGTGCCTGACACAAGCCATGATATTTTCAATCGCCTCGTATGCATGTGAGAGCAGGACAATGGATAAAGAAGACCGAAGAATTGATTCTTTTGAGTTGTGGTGCTGGCAAAGAATGCTGAAAGTACCATGGACTGCTAAAAGAACTAACAAATCTGTCCTGGACGAAGTGCAGCCAAAATGCTCCTTGGAAGCAGGAATGGCCAGACTTCATCTCATCTACTTTGGTCATATTGTCAGAAGGGATCATTCCCTGGAGAAGGATGTCATTCCTGGTAAGGTGGAGGGTCGATGAAGGAGGGGAAGGCCTACAACGATATGGATTTACATAGTGGCTGCGACAACGGGATCAAGTATAGCAGGGATCACGGAGCTGGCACGGGACTGGGCGGTGTTTCATTCTGCTGTGCATAGGGTCATTATGAGTCAGAGGCAACTCGATGGCACCTAACAACAACAAAAACAATGACCAGTCCCTGGAGAAGGATATCATGCTTGGTAACATAGAGAATCAGTGAAAAAGCAGAAGATCTTCACAAGATGGATCGACACAGTGGCTGCAATGATGGGCTCAAGCACAGCAAGCACTGTGAAGATGGTACTGGACCAGGCGGTGTCTTTTTCTGTTGTACATAGGGTCACTATGAAGCAAAACTGACTGAAGGGCACCTGACAACAGCAATAAGTAGTGCAACAGAAGAAAGGCCTGGCAATTTGCTTCTGTAAAGATTATACGACCAAGCTTGTTGACATCAAGTCAATTCCAACTCATAGCAACCCTACAGTAAAACTGCCCCAAAGGGTTTCCAATGCTATAAATCTTTATGGAAGAAAACTGCCACATCTTTCTCCCATGGAGCAGCTAGTGGGTTCAAACCACCAACTTTTGGTTAGTAGCCAATCATTTAACCACTGCACCACCCAGGGCTCCTCTCCAGGGAGGCCAAAGAGGGTAAAAGTTCTGAAAAAGTCACCCAAAGCCATGGAGAAATTACCAAATTAGATCAAGGCTACCTGAAAATGTCAAGGGCTTGGGCTAGAGATTAATTTTGAGTACAGGGAAATAGAGGATGTCTGAGTTGGTGGGTTGTGATGTTCATGCCTGCTTCACAAGTACTGACAAACTTTCCTGGGGAAGACACCATTGGCCATCCTGGCTGGCAGATGCAGGGTTGCCTGCTTCCACGGGCTGCTCACTTATTGCCTCCCTTCCCCTCTGATCTCACCAGGCTCCCAATGACCTCATCAATGGCCATACCGGGACACAGCTACTCACCAGGAAGGCATCTGGAATTGTCATGGTTAGGATGTAAGTATGATGCCAGCTATATAGTTCCCCAAGTCTCTGCAGCTGAATCCTGCCGTCAGCACTTGGGCTAATGATTCAACAAACTGTCCCATGTTCTGTGTTAAGCTGTTGGAGGAGAGTCATCATGTTGTCACAGCACATTGTTAACATCACATGTTCCCATGCCCTGCTGAGCTCCTGGAAAGAGGCCTGTGAAGGGTCTACTCAGTAGACTTTCCAGGACTCTGAGCCACAGTGAAGGGTCAGAGTCTTTGTACAAAAGGCCCTGTGATGTTTGGTGCCTTTTTACTCCCAGGCAGAGGTGCAAGATAAAGGGGAAAAAGGACCCTTGGGAACTAGGGTAAAGGCTGAAAGAGTGATATGGACCTGGGACATGGAGTCCTATTACCCAATGCCCTGTCTTGGACCAAGGAGTTGTGGTGGTGTATTGGTTAAAGCATTCAGCTGCTAACTGAAAGGTCAGTGGTTGGAACTCATCAGCTACTCTGCAGGAGAAAGATGAGGAAGTCTGCTTCATAAAGATTTATAGCCTTGGAAACCCTATGGGGCAGTTCTACTCTGGTCTATAGGGTTGATAGAAGATGTAACTGACTTGCCAGTGGGTTGCCTCTGACCACCCTCATTCCTTGATTCATCAGCAGGCAGTGTGTTTTAAACTAGGGGCAAAGAGTCCTATTGGAGGTGAGGGAGAGGTTGCTACAGACACTGAGATTTAAAGAGGAATGAAGCAGACCCTGGATGGCTCAAACGGTTAAGCACTTGACTACTAGCCAAAAGAACTTTGGCAGTTCAAACCCACCCAGAGGCCCCTCGAAAGACAAGTCTGATGATTTGCTTCCAAAAGGTCACAGCCTTGAAAACTCCATGGATCAACTCTACTCTGCATGTGTCGGGTCACCATGAGTCGGATTAGACATGAATGGCAACAAACAACAACTCATGAATGAGGCACTTCAGCCTACCGTCCAGAAGGCTCTCTTCACTTCTGTAGCCACTACACTGAGAGTGAGAGTCCAGGGCTGCCTCCGAAGGGAAACTCAGGGCCCAGGACAGCTAAAGTGAATAGAGAGATGGTGCTCGTCCACCAGACCAGCCACGTGACAAATAAGCAACTATCCTCTGGCAACAGGAAAAGTGAAGCTGTTTTCCTAGAACTCTGAGGAATAGCCCCAGCAAAGGCTATGACCATGACCCAATTCCTAGGGAAAGCCTGATATATCCACCTCAAAGGTCCATTGGACACAGAACCAGGGCAGTTCCTTCAACCTGTCAGGAGGCCTCAATGAGAGTTTGTTATCTGAACAAAAGAAAGTAAGTTGGTTTTCTCTACAAAGTCTTTTCTCTTCTAGCACAAAGTTGTACATCTTTGCCAACCAAGCTCAACTGGCAGCTGTGAGGCATGAGAGACTTTCTTTAATAGGCAGAATAGGGAGGAGACCAAGGAAAGGCTTCTTGCCAAGTCTTGATGTCTTCTTTCATCAAGTGTCATCCACACTGAGATGGAGAGGGACTCAAGTCATGGAGGTATTTAAACTTCTCTCTTGGTTTGGTCTGGAAGTTTTTCAGGCACAAGAAATTCTCTTGTTGTCACTGAATTTCTCAAGTATGGATTTAGTATTCCTTCCTCACAGAGATAGTCTGGCTCCAAACTTTCACAAGAGAAGAGAAGATGCTGTTTGGCTTTTGAGCAAGGCCGTTCTGGCATTCCCAAACATATGTATTGGGACTTTCTGGGTGAAATCTTAGCTGAAATTGGGGGCTCCTGAGAGGTCTTTCCTGGGGTACAATGAAGCATGTAAGGGGAGGTGACGTATTCATTCTTCTCCCCTCCAGCAATGCTTTTCTGATGCTTCAGAGGTTCTTCTGTGGAAACTTCCAGGAAATTCTCAAAATTCACCACCAACTTGTCAATGAGATCACTGGGGTAAAATGGTCTTAGAATTCTGTCTTCAGTGTTCACAGAGTCATCAAACTGTACCTCCTTCAGATTTGGCTTATTCTGAAAAAAGAAAAAGGGATACCCCAAATGGTCATTTAGAGGTTACATATAATGTAACCAAAAGGCCATTAGTCATTGGACACCAAATGCCCCCACCTCCTGAATAGACCCCCAACACCACCACGATATTCCTTCCAGATGATAGAAACTCACTGCTGTCAAGTTGGATCTGACTCATAGTGACCCCTCCTTGGGTTTCTGAGGTGGTATCTGTATGGAAGTAGATTACCCAGTGTTCCTTCCAAGGAGTTGCTGGTGGGGTTGAACCGCCAGCCTTCTGCTTAGCAGTCAAATGCCTTAGGCACAACACCACCAGGGCTCCTCCAGATAATAGAAGTGGTAGCCAATCACCTCCATATGCTATTTCATAGGAGTATGATAAGAGTGGCCCATTTTCTGAGAAACAGCACACAATTTTCACACAATCTTTTCTTTTGAAGAACTCAAAGTTCATATTTTCACAAAACATCAGTTAAGTGGGAGTGAAAAACTGAGAGCTCTTAGAGATGAAAAAAATACAGCCACAGAGACCAATAACTTCCCAAAATTTCCCATAACATCAAAGGTGACCTCATGACAGGGGCAGTATCTTTGTCACATCTGTATCCTCAGGGCCTACTAACGTCTGTCATACAGTGGTTGATTAATAAGTACTTGCTATTGAGGCTAGCAACTCCTCGGAAGGAAGATGGGGCAATCTACTTCCGTAGTGATACTGCCTCGGAAACCCAAGGAGGGGTCGCTATGAGTCGAGTCCGACTCGACGGCACATAACAACAACAACAACAACATTGAGGCTAGACCTACAGATTATTCAAAAATGCATTTTAGCCATCAGACAACACTGCCTATAAATTCATTTACTCTCTTAATAACTTTATAACCCACCACCTCTCTTAATAACCCACCAGCCACTCCTCAGAAGGAAGACTGGGCATACTTCCATAGAGATACTGCCTCAGAAACCCAAGGAGGGGTCACTATGAGTCAGAACTGACTCAACGGCAGTTAAGTTTGTTTGCTTTTTTTTTTTTTTTTAACAACTTGTTAAAGGTAGAAAAGTAAATTTGAAAATATAAGACATATAAAGGAAAGGAGAAAATAGAAATTAAGTCCACTGTAGCAGAAATGTCTACATTAAAAAACATTTCTTAGATGAAGAGAGGCTAATATTAAAAATTCCTTTATCAAGGAAAAATAGGAAGTCTTTTAATAATGATTTAAATGTATATTTAATTGAGTTTATTAAACACTATCTAAGAAAGAAATCCAATCTAAAATCAGGACAATTTTTAATTTTAAAAAATTATGAAAAAGGAAGATTTTTACTTAAGTATAGTTTACCAGAAAGCCCCATTAGCAATTAAACCAAGTTTGACTATAATTTGCCCAACCTGAGAAACACAATCTGAGGTAGCATGCCCCCATCTGTGCACACCAACTGTCAGCTATTCACATCCATGTCTGCTCAAGTTCACTAGATGGTCTAGAAATTAAAATACTCTTGGTTGCTTTTTAAATGGCCTCAAATCCTAAATTAACCAAAAAGTTGACAGTTTGAATCTACTCACCTTGGAAGAAAGGCCTGGTGATCCACTTCCAAAAGAACACAGCCATTGAAAACTCTATAGAGCAAATTGTATTCTGAGGCACATAGGAACACCATGAATTGAAATCAACTGATGGCCACTGGTTTGGTGATTTGTTTGTTTTATTGTTTGTTAAATCTTGCAGTGGGGCTTTCTTTCTCTCTCTAATTAGACCATCAGGTCCTGAGGGTGTATATCTTTGATCTGCACTATCCCTTGCAGTACCAATTCTATGGTGGGCACATCGTAGGTCCTCATGAGCCTAGATGTGCTCGTTCCTCTTGTCCAAAGCATGAAGTTAAAGAGTTCCTGGAAGCTTGATTCCATCCACCCTGCCAATCATTCCCTGGGATTTTCAACCCTGAGTTCTCTTTATGTGAACTCCATAAAAGGCTCAGCCCAGGACGTCTCCCACTTCCACCAAACTTATCCATCTCCCACAGCCAGCTCATCCAAATGATTCCCTTAACAAGAATATTTTACCTTGAAGTTATCTCCATACCACACAGCTATACTGCTTTCGGCAGGGTTGGGGACATCAGGACAACAAAGGTGTTTCAATTTGCTAATAAGAGATAAGATTTGAAAAAGAAAATGAGTCCAAGAAGCATTTTACACATCCAATATGGCTGAGCCCAAAGAGGGCTTTGCTAAAGGGAATTGTATGGCTCCCCCATTAAATAAGGGCAAGCCCCCAGCCTGCTAGGAGAGGGAAGTACAATTTTGGGTGGTGAAGCAAAAGTCTACAAAGGGAGGAGACATCTCCTCACACAAAGTTATCCTGACCCTTACTCTCTCTTCCACCCCTTTATCTCCACATCTGGTGCTGATGCCTGAAATCATACCATCACAATCACACCTATGAGATTTATTCCCTGAGAAGAGAAACACAGGAGGCTTTGTAGGTTATCCACACTTTAGTACCATGGCTCTCAAAGTGTGGCCCTAATCAGTAGCATCAACATTATTTGGGAACTTGTTAGGAATGCAAATTCTTGTTTTCCACCCCAGCATCACTGAATTACTAATTATACTACTAATCACCAACTACTATATTGAAATGTGCAAAGACCTGGAGTTAGAAAACTAAAAGGGAAGAACACACTCAGCATTTCTCAAGCTCAAAGAACTGAGGAAAAAAATTAAGTCTTACATTGCAACAGTGAAAGATTCTATGGGCAAAATATTGAATGATGCAGGAAGTATTAAAAGAAGATGGAAGGAATATACAGAGTCACTGTACCAAAAAGACCTGGTTGATCCTTATCCATTTCAGGAAGTAGCATATGATCAAGGACCAATGATATTGAAGGAAGAATTTGAAGCTGGACTGAAGGAATTGGCAAGAACAAGGCTCCAGGAATTGACGGAATACCCATTGAGATGTTTCAACAAATGGATACCCCACTGCAGGCACTCACTCAGTTATCCCAAGAGATTTGGAAGACAGCTACCTGGCCAACTGACTGGAAGAGATCCATATTTGTACCCTTTCCAAAGAAAGGTGATTCCACAGAATGTGGAAATTATTGAATAATATCATTAATATCACACTCAAGTAAAATCTTACTGAAGACAATTCAGAAATGGTTGCAGCAGTATATTGACAGAGAACTTCCAGAGGTGCAGGCTGGATTCAAAAGAGGATATGGAACAAGGGATATCATTGCTGATGTCAGATGGATCTTGGCTCAAAGCAAAGAATACCAGAAAGATGTTCACTTGTGTTTTATTGGCTATGCAAAAGTATTCAATTGTGTGGATCATAACAAATTGTTGATAACATTGAGAAGAAAGGGAATTCCAGAACACTTGATTGTGCTCCTGAGGAACCTGTACATAGACCAAGAGGCTATTCAAACAGAACAAGGGGACACTGCATGGTTTAAAATGAAGAAGGGAGTGCATCAGGGTTGTATCCTTTCACCATACTTATTTAATCTGTACGCTGGCCAAATAATCCAAGAAGCTGGACTATATGAAGAAAAATGTAGCATTAGGATTGGAGGAAGGATCATTAACAACCTGTGATACAATGACGACACAACTTTGTTTGCTGAAAGTGAGGATGACTTGAAGCACTTGCTGATGAAGATTAAAGAGTACAGTCTGCAGTATGTATTACATTTCAATATAAAGAAAACAAAAATCCTCACAACTGGACCTATAAGCAGCATCATGATAAATGGAGAAAAGATTGAAGTTGTCAAGGACTTCACATAGCTTGGTTCTACAATCGATGCCAATAGAAGCAGCAGTCAGGACATCAGATGACGCATGCTGTTGTGTTGTTATGTGCCATCAAGTTGGCCCTGACTCATAGTGATCCCTCCTTGGGTTTCTGAGGCAGTATCACTACAGAAGTAGATCGCCCAACCTTCCTTCCATACGACTCATAGCACTGGGCAAATCACCTACCAAGGACCTCTTTCAAGTGCTGAAGAGCAAAGATATCTCCTTGAGGACTAAGGTGCGCCTGACAAGCCATGGTATTTTCATTCTCCTCATATACATGTGAGAACTGGACAATGAATAAGGAAGACTGAAGAAAAGTTGATGTTTTTGAATTGTGGTGCTGGCAAAGAATGCTGAGAGTACCATGGACTGCTAAAAGATCTAACAAATCTATCCTGGAGAAAGTGCAGCTAGAATGCTCCTTGGAGGCAAAAATGGCCAGACTTTGCCTCAACTACTTTAGTCACATTGTCAGAAGGGACCACTCACTGGAGAAGGATGTCATGCTTGGTAAGGTGGACAGTCAACGAAAGAGGGGAAGGCCCTCAATGAGATGGATTGACACAGTGGCTGCAGGGATGAGCTCAAGTATAGCAAGGATCATGGAGCTGGCGCGGGACCAGGCATTGTTTCATTCTGCTGTGCATGGGGTCACTATGAGTTGGAGATGACTCAACACCTAACAACAACATCACTGAATTGGCCAGATGCTTTCGGAAGCTCTGGTGTTGTAGTGCCTAAGGCACTTGACTGCTAATCAGAAGGCTGGAGGTTCAAACCCACCAGCCACTCCTCAGAAAGAGTGGTGAAACCATAGTGATACCACTTTGGAAACCCAATGAGGGGTCGCTATGAGTCAGATCCAACTTGACGGCAGTGAGGTTTTTATTTAAGGGGCAGCCCAGAAGGGGAGCTGGGCACCTGGGGCTTTTGGAAGTGGCTTTAAGGGACAGCCCGGAAGCAGAGCTGGACACTGGGGGCTTTTGGAAGCAGCTTTCAGGGGCAGCCAGGAAGGGGAGCCAGGCATGGGATTTGGAGCAGCTTTAAGGGAGGTCAGGAAATGAGCAGAATGGTTTGGAACAACTAAGGGAGGTGAACTTGTCTGCCAGTTTGTCATCCTGTGGTGCCTTATGTGGTGTTATGAGGCTGGAGGCTATGCCATTGGTATTGCCAATACCAGCAAGGTTACCCATAGTGGACAGGTTTCAGCAGAGCTTCCAGACTAAGAAAGACTCAGAAGAAGGAAGAGGCCAGTCACTTCTCACAGAATTGGCTAATGAAAACCTCATGAATAGCAGTGAAACACTGTCTGATATATAACTGGAAATCTTTATGAACAGCACAGAAACACTGTCCAATATAGTGCTGGAAGATGAGCCCTTCAGGTCAGAAGGCACTCAAAATATGACTGGGGAAGTGTTCCCTACTCAGAATAGAGTTGACCTTAATAATGGAGATGGAGTAAAGCTTTCAGGACCTCCATTTGCTGATGTGGCATGACTCAACATGAGAAGAAACAGGTGCAAATATCCATGAATAACTGGAACATGGAATGTATGAAGTATGAATCTAGGAAAATTGGAAGTTGTCAAAGATGAAATGGAACACATAAAGATTGATATCCCAGGCATTAGTGACTGGTTTTGGCCATTTTGAATCAGACAACCGTAAGATCTACTATGCTGGGAATGACAAATTGAAGAGGAATGGTGTGGCATTCATCATCAGAAAGAGTGTTTCAAGATCCATCCAGAAGTACAACGCTGCCAGTGATAGGATAGTATCCATATGCCTACAAGGAAGACCAGTTAATACTATCATTATTCAAATTTACACACCAACCATCAAAGCCAAAGATGAGGAAATTGAAGATTTCTACCAACTTTTGCAGTCTGAAATTGACTGAACATGCAATCAAGATGTGTTGATTATCACTGGTGATTGGAATGCAAAAGTTGGAAACAAAGAAGAATCAATGGTAGTTGGAAAATTTGGCCTTGGTGATAGAAATAATGCTGGAGATTACATGATAGAATTGTGCAAGACCAATGACTTACTCATTGCAAATACCTTTTTCAACAACACAAATAGTGGCTATACATGTGGACTTCGCCAGACGGTGTACACCAGAATCAGATCGACTACATTTGTGGAAAGAGGTGATGGAGAAGCTCAATATCTTCAGCCAAACAAGGCCAGGAGATGACTGTGGAACAGACCATCAAGTGCTCATATACAAGTTCAAGTTGAAGCTGAAGACAATTAAAACAAGTCCACAAGAGCCAAAAAATGACCTTGATTATATCTCTCCTGTATTTAGAGACCATCTAAAGAATAGATTTACTACATTGAACACTAATGACCAAAAACCAGAGGAATTATGGGATGACATCAAGAACATCATCCATGAAGAAAGGTCATTAAAAAAAGAAGAAAGGTCATTAAAAAAAGAAGAAAGGAATAAAAGATCAAAATGGATGTCAGAAGAGACTCTGAAACTTGCCCTTGAGCAGAGATTAGCTAAAGCAAATGGAAGAAATGACAAGATAAAAGAGCTGAACAGAAGATTTTAAAGAGCAGCTCAAGAACACAAAGCCAAATATTATAATTAAATGTGCAAAGACCTGGAATTAGAAAACAAAAAAGGAAGAACACAGTTGGCATTTCTTTACTTTGTGTGTGTGTGTGTGTGTGTGATTTGGGGTGAAAGTTTACAGAGCAAATACACTTTCCATACAGCAGTCCACATACACTTTGTCTCATGACATTGACTACAATTTACTATAATGCAACAGCTCCACTCCCACTTCCTCCCCATAGTTACCTCTTCCTTGTGTCCATCCCTCCATGCACTCCTGTCCCTGATCTGTCTCCCTGTGTGTACACAACCCTTCTATTCTCCCATGATTATTGTTTCCAAGGAGTGTATCTACTTATGTAAATGATCAGCTCATATGCCTGTCTTTTGTTTGGCTGGAAACCACAGGTGTGGGTTCAATTCCACACCTGAAGGGCAGCTATGGGCCATAGTCTCTGTGGTTCCATCAGGCTCTATCAGACCAGCAAACCTTGTCTTTTTTTTTTTTTTTTCAAATAATTTTGAGTTTTGTTCAACGTTGTTCTCCCACTCTATCCAGCATCTCCTACATAGATCCCCTTCCAAGTGGTTGACAGTGGTAGCTGGGCACCATATTCTTCTGGTCTCATAGTCATATAGGCTGAGGATTGCATAGTGTACAAATCATTTGGACTAATTGTTTCCATGAATCTTTGGTTTTCTTCATTCTTCTTTGCTCTGGATAAGGAGAGGCACATCATTGCATCTAGATGGCTGCTTGCAAGCTTTTAAAGTCCTAGTTGCTACTCACCAAAGTAGGATGTGCAACAATGTTTTGTGTAGTATGTTATGCCAATTGAGCCTGATGTCCCCTGCTACTATGGTCCCAAGCCCATAGGTCCAACTACTCACTCCCTCTGGGTAGCTGGCTATGGCCAAGAAGTGACTACAACCTTGTCCCTTGTCAGCTCTACTATATACCTGGGAATTCTTACAGAACATACCAATACACTTGTAGAAACATCGTTTGTCAACCTTATACATGGTCTCAGGCACATTCCACCCTGCATAGACATACCTAATAGCTCAGATGCTCAGCATTTCTTAAGCTGAAGGAACTGAAGAAAAAATCTAAGCCTCAAGTTGCAATATTAAAGATTCTATGGGCAAAATATTGAATGATGCAGGGAACATCAAAAGAAGATGGGAAGAATACACAGAGTCACTGTACCAAAAAGAACTGGTCTTTGTTTATCCATTTCAGGAGGTGGCATATGATCAACAACCAATGGTACTGAAAGAAGAAGTCAAAGCTGCACTGAAGAAAGTGGCGAAAAACAAGGCTCCAGGAATCGACAGAATACCCATTGGGATATTTCAACAAAAGGATGCTGCACTAAAGGCACTCATTTGTCTACACCAAGAGATTTGGAAGACAGCTACCTGACCAACTGACTGGAAGAAATCCATATTTGGACCCATTCCAAAGAAAGGTGAATGTGGAAATTATTGATACACATACCAGGAGGCTATAGTTCAAACAGAACAAAGGGATACTGCATCATTTAAAATCAAGTAAAATCTTAGTGAAGATAATTCAAAAACTGCTGCAGCAGTATATTGACAGAGAACTTCCAGAAAAGCAATCTGGATTCAGAAAAGGACATGGAATGAGGTATATCATTGCTGATGTCAGATGGATCTTGGCTCAAAGCAAAGAATACCAGAAAGGTGTTTACTTATGTTTTATTGACTGTGCAAAAGCATTTGATTATGTGGATCATAACAAATTATGGATAACATTAAGAAGAATGGGAATTTCAGAACACTTAATTGTACTCATGAGGAACCTGTCCATAAACCAGGAAGCTGTAGTTTGAAAAGAACAAGGGGATATTACATGGTTTAAATAAAGGGAGTGTGTCAAGGTTATATCCCTTTCACCATACTTACTCAATTTGTATGCTGAGCAAATAATCTGAGAAGCTGGATTATATGAAGAAGAATGTGGCATCAGGATTGGAGGAAGACTCATTAACAACCTTCGATATGCAGATGACACAATTTGCTTGCTGAAAAGGAGGATGACTTGAAGCACTTACTGATGAAGACTGAAGACTACAGTCTGCAGTATGAATTACACCTCAATATAAAGAAAACAAAAATCCTCACAACTGAACCAACAAGCAGCATTATGATAAACAGAGAAAAGATTGAAGTTGTCAAGGACTTGATACTACTTGGTTCTACAATCAACACCAATGGAAGCAGCAGTCAAGACATTAGAAGACATGTTGCATTGGGCAAATCTGCTGTAAAAGACCTCTTTCAAGTGCTGAAGAGCAAAGATGTCTCTTTGAAGACTAAAGTGTGCCTAAACCAAGCCATAGTATTTTCAATTGCCTCTTATGCATGTGAGAGCTGGACAGTGAATAAGGAAGACTAAAGAAGAGTTGATGCTTTTGAGTTGTGGTGCTGGCAAAGAACGCTAAGAGGACTATGGACTGCTAAAAGAACTAACAAATCTATCCTCGAAGAAGTGCAGGTGGAATGCTCCTTGGAAGCGAGAATAGCCAAATTTGTCTCACCTACTTTGGTCATGTTGTTAGAAGGAACCACCCCTGGAGAAGGATATCATGCTTGGTAAAGTGGAGGGTCAACGAAAAAGGGGAAGGCCCTCAACAAGATGGACTGACACAGTGGCTACAACGATGGGCTCAGGTACAGCAAGGATTGTGAGGATGACACAGGATCAGGCAGTGTTTCATTCTGTTGTACATAAGGTTGCTATGAGTCAGAGACTACTCAACTGCACCTAACAACAACACATCACTGAATTGGTCTAACTGCTGATGAGTTAGATACCAGAATTTGTACTGGTGACTTAGTTATAATGTACAGGTTAGAATCAAGGTAAGATTGGGACTGAGGCTGACCTTAGATTAACAATTAACCAAGAGCAGCTACTTGGCAGAGAGCCCACAAATGTCCAAGTTGAGAGAGAGAACTCTAGCCAGGAGGGACCCTTGATCACTAGGGCATGCAGCATGAGGCTCGTGGAGGGAAGCAAAGCACAGGACCTTGAAGACACACTTCCTTTCCCACAGTGGCCAGTGCAGTCAGAACAAACACCCCCCTAGGTGGCCCTCTAAGACTGCGTCACAAGCTAGGAACAAGTTTGGGCTGGGCATACAGCTGGTGAGTATTCCCTGGGAACACAGCTCATTGCTCTGCCTGAGAGAGAGGCCAGTGGTCCTCAGACCTTCTGCTGCTGCCATAGCCTCCTCTAGATGTTTAGAGAAAAGTCCTCCTCTCCAACTTTCAGATTTATACCAGATAAATCCTGTGGGACAGCTGGCACTGCCCCTGGCCTCACAACAGACGAGGCCTGGCATATAGGACTATGGGATGTGGGGTCTGCTTGTTTGGCCAGAATTCTGATGAGCCACAGGGTATGGCATACAATAATCTCAATAAATATTTGCTATATTAATAGATGAACGAATACCACCTTATTGGTAGCATGCCTTCTCCCACCCATGGTGATTTCTACCCTTTCCCACCCCTGATTTGGAAGATAGCACTGTTGCCTATAAACTCACTTGGGTTTTTTCAGCCCATATGTCACCATCAAGATAATGAGTATCAGAAGCCCTCCTCCAACCAGAGAAGTTATGAGGATGATCTCAATGACACCTTTGGAAAAAGGAGAACATAAGTCAGTAGCATATTTTGCTTCTTATTTTCTACAAAACCAAAGATTAACTTCATCTTCCAATAGCTTTGGCAGCACATTTGTTATAGATTGAATTGTGTCCCCTGAAAATGTCTTGGCATTAACTAATCCCTATGCCTGTGGTTCCATTTCCTTTTTGACAACTTCCAATTTTCCTAGATTCATACTTCATACATTCCATGTTCCGATGATTAATGGATGTCTGT